GAACACTTTACAGCATCTGCTCTGCTCATTTATCGGCCAACAGCTGAACTTTCCTCTGGTTACTTTTACAGGTGCAACTGACTGAGTTTACGCTGTGTCTGACTTCCTGGTTGGCTTGGACCGGAGCTGACAGAGCAGGGAATATGTTTACAGCTGGAGGGGGAATATGCAGGCTAGTTTTTATAAGGCCCGTGTTAAGGTATTGCATGTGCTGCGCGTGGCTTAGATTTATAGCCAAATATTCGCCGTAGCACAGTGGAATGAAATGGAGATCTCCAATGTAAATAATGGACAAAAGGCCCGGCTGTGTTTGTGTGCGGCTGATTGTTTGGGATTCACGTGGCCTCTGTCTCGTGTGTTGGTGTTGATTTAGTGGGGCTCAATGGGCTGTCACCGGGCCAGCCCCTCCTACAAGAACGCATTTATAGACTCTTTGGGTAGAGAGTATATATATATATGTATCATGAGCTCCACGAGGGAAGGCTGGTCCATGAAGCCGAGCTGCAGCGCGTCTGGTTAAAGGTGACGGACGGCACGTTTGAGAAGCGTTTTTAAGGGAAAGTTTTCAAATCCAGATGGCTGTAGTTTGGCTGTAAATCTACCTGGAATACAAACAACCAATTTTACATTTTCATGCACCGAGTGTGCTGCTGAGATTTCAGCGTTGGCAGACTCTCCAGCAGAACCGGCTTGACCGTGCCAACATCCGACGGTTTTCAAACCAGTCCCTCCTGTTCCCACGCACTGGAAACATATGTTTAGAGACGTAAAGGGGGCAAAACAGCGACGGACTACAAGCAACTTCTAAGCATCTGCTCTTTGATTTATTCTGTAGTGAATAAACTGGATTCACAAACCAAGTCGAGACAAAATCAGAAGTTCATTTTGATACCAGTGAAGGTTTTTACTGTAATTCAAGAGTTTTTCTGAAGGAAAGATGGCGATCGAACACTCAGCGCTGTCTCATCACGTGTTGTTAAAAACATATTCCTGCTCTGCTCTTAACCTTTAGGTACCTTTATAACTAATTTATCATCATTTTCCAAAAGCACTGTGGTCAACATTCAGGAGATTTACGTGTTCATACGGGATGTGCAGTGAAATGCAAAGTGGCTCAATACAACATTATTAAAGAACATTCTAGGAATAAAAACCTAGAAAACTTACCATCACTATAACTAAGTGTCCCCAAAGATTATCCTAGCATCAAGCAAAGTTGTGTGTAGCATCCTGCAAGAACAGAATCCACACATTAGTTAGATTCACAGATGAGATCATTTTTAAAAAAACTGGACAATTCTGGTTCTGTCAGACTGCATGAAAGAAATGATTTCAATGTTTGGGCACGCTTTGTAAATGGATCCATTTAAAGTTGTCTTTTTTTGGTAAAAGTGGTGAAAACAAGAGCAGGTGAGAGTCAGAGGCAGTCAGGTGTTTTATGTTTACCTGAGATAACAGACGTGTTGGCGCCTAATATCAGAAGCTGTAATTGAAAATTCACAGCTTAACCCGCGAACATCGTCTCCGACCCGCCGGAGAAAACGATGCGGTTCTGTTTCAGATGTCTCCGTCGGCCGACATGCAAAAGGAAGCGAGAAACAGAAGCCATTACAGTGTGAATGGAGCCGGTGCTGCATTGTTGGCGCTCTGACCCGCAGATCACAGGAAATAAACGCAGAGTGACGAATCAATTCTTTTCTCTTCCACACCATATCCTCTGTTTTTTCTTTCCTTCCCCTCCTCGCTCAGTGTCGCTCTGCTTCTGCTTGTCTCTTTGCTGTGCAGCCCTGTCCATCTTCTCCAGCCTCCTTCTGTTTTAACGTGTCAGCTCGCTTCCTTTCTCTGACTCTCCACTCAAAACCAAATCTGGTCTGTTTTGTTTCCGGGCTTTTATCCCCCCAGCTCCCGTCTCTCCTCGGCGTTTCTTTCAGCTAATGTGATTGTGCGCTGATGTCTCAGTCTTCTCACATTAATTTGAGTCAGTAACCTCACTTTGTTCGTCCCATTAATCCTCTGAGTTTTAACAAAAACAAATCCTCTCCTCCACTTTTTCTCAACCTCAGCTAAGTCTTCGAACTCATCTTCTCCCCGGATCATCTTTTACCGTAAAACCTTTTTCTAATCCCACTCCTGCTTTTACCTTTTGTGTTCAGCAGCTCACCTGCTCAGCCGCTCGCTGGGCTTCTTCTCTCCAGGTTGTCTCATTAGTCTGATTTGTCAATATGCCTAGACTGGAATCAGACCTGTGTGTTTTCCTCTCTTCCAAATTGTTACGTAATACGAGCCAGGAGCATTTTCTCTCTTTGTTTCAAGGGTTACTGAATAGATACCACGTTTATTTCTGAAGGTCTTGTGTTGTGCTAGTTGTAGTTTTGGTATTTTTTTTTCCCGTGTGGACAATCCTCCAGAGTGTGAAGCAGCAGATGGTGTTGGTCAAAGTTTTACTGGTGTGTGTTGAGCTGAAGGGCTTGTTTTCTATATTTGTACTCAAATACAGCAAAAAAAAAAAAAGAATTATTAGAGATGAATAACAGTTAAATCCTAAACAGTACATGTAAGCTTGAGAGAAATTAACTATGTTGGCAAAAGTATGCGGACAACTGAAAGGTCCAGAACAATGGACAGTAATCGAGTATGGCACCAAAATTCTGCACATATTTTGTTATATATTTTCATGGGACAACACTGAATAAATGGCACTTTGTTCCACTGTAAAGTCATCAGTGTGCAGCTTGTATAACGGTGTACATCTACTGTCCCCTCAGAATAACTCAATGCAGCCGTGAATGTTTAAACCGCTGGCAGCAGAAGTCAGTACACCTGTCAGTGAAGATGTCCTAATTGGACCCAATCAGCCTTTTTCCCTCCCCGGTGTCATGTGACCCGTTAGTGTTATGAGGTCTCAGGTGTGACGACTGTATTTGTGATTTTCACAGTGTGTTAATGTGACGTTTATTCTGTTTCCACAAAGCCTTGGTGCACTCTTTCCATTTGTTTCCTGTCTTCTTGCTAAGCTAAGCTAACAGGCTAACAATCAGACATGATAGTGGCATTCCTCGTTCACAGGAGCGGTGTTAGTTTACGACCTTTTACAAACTTGTAAACGCATTATTATCTAAAATAACCACCGTATGCTGCAGCGTGAAGATTTCCTTCATCGGACTCGTGGAAAACCGTCCCAGACAGACGTGCTGTTGGCCTCTTCATGTGCAGTAAACCAGCACAGAATGGGAGCTTATTTATGTGAGTGTGTTTGTGTTTGTGTCCGTCTGACCAGAACTCCGGGTACCAAACCGGGCAGCAGCCCCAGAGGACAAACCCCAGATGAGACCGGACGGCGCCCGGGGCCGAGCCACGACGCCAACTCTTCTGTGTCCGACTTGGCCAACTCGGTCACCAGTGACATGCTCATGGTAACACACAACACCAACACAGTATGTATTCATATATATATATATAGACGCATTTCATTGATACACCTCTACCTCATGCGTTTTTTGTTGAACTCGCCTGTATTCAGACGGCTGCTGTCAGCATCAGAATACATGAGACGGCTTCCAGATCATTCTTCCTAATCTGAGATGAAAGCTCCATTCAGGGCTTGAGATGAGGACGTGGACGATGAGGCGAGGGAGCGTTGACATCATGTTAAAATATCAACCTATCAGTAATTAATCACTACAGTAAAGCCAGATGTAACAGTAGCTTGTATTGGCTTCAGTGACATCCAGCAGCGACATAACGTTGCTCCTCCTGTTGCTTCATGCTGTTTAGATGTTGGTCAGTTCAGTTTTTAGTTACAGCAGCTGACAGCGACAGCAAAGCTCAGAGGATCCTCCTTTATTGCAGCATTTAGGACCGTGTTGAGTTAAATGTTAGTGATAAAAGACTATTGGAGTTTCTTTGGTGCTATCATTCAGATCAATAATAATAAAAACAGTTTACTCATCACATGAATTGCTGATGTTAAGAAAAACACAAGAAGCAGCCAATCCTGTGGTTTGTCAAATGGAAAAGATAGAACAGCCATGACTGAATAATCGACCCTTAACAATCCTAAACCTGCTATCCGACAGGTTTTAAGAAAAACCAACAGAACCCATAAAAACAGCCTTAACATAGCGACAGCCTTGGATTGTGACTCCGACATGACATTTAATGTCACCAATCAGGATGACGGCGTATTATCTGACTGAACAATCCCACAGATTGGCTACGTTCACACTGCAGGACTTGATGCTCAATGAGGATTTCTTTGTGACTTCCTTCACGTTTCCACTTCAATGCGACTTGTATGTGATCTGCTGTGTGAACTTCATACGAGCCAAAAGTGTCCCGCATGCGCAGAAGAGGACACGACGACGTCACACGCAGCGAGCGTGCTCAGTGTTTATGGAAGTAAACATGGATGGTAACGGTGGAGCGTATCTGCCACTCCCCCGCCGCCACCGATGGAGGAAACAGAAGTGTGAGCGCTAACTAAACTAGCATCAGCAGCCAAGTACTGCCTGTGTGTTCTGGACACTTCCACCCCGTCAGAGCACTGCCCCGGGGTGGAAGTGGCCCCCGACCGGGACGAATGTTCTGATATTCATCATTAATTGGGCCTGAACATCCAGAGAGCAGAAAGTTTTATTGGGACCAGCCCTAGTTTGTCGTGTATCAATGACGTGTAGGTCGGATCAGTGCGACTGGGCCGTTCAGACAGAAGTCTCATGGTAAAAGAGATACCTGTTGGATTTAGGACCACTAACCTTTGATGTCAACCGACGGGCCGTCACCGGTCAGTTAGGCTGAAGTCCAGCGATGCGTCGTGTTCTAACAACACACTAGTTATTATAACAACTATGAACAATAATGAACAACTAATGAGCCTTCCAGCATCAAGCCCTCCTCGTATCTGGACCTCCGTCTGGACAATCCGACAGCCTTGATATCCGACATAGAAGAAGGTTTTACATTTAGTGTAGGATCATCGAGTCTCGACTGTATGTGAATTAAAACTGTGTCTCTTATTATTTCCCAGAGAACCATTTGGTTTTACTTGGACTAAACGTTCCAGATCACAACAGTTGCTGCTGCAGTGCTTTGCTTTGATTTTTTTGTAGAAATTTTTATCTGAAGCTGCACAAATATGACCAAAAGTTAAAATAAAAGTAATTTTGAACGAGCTGTTTACATTTGTTTGCGTATCAGTTGCTATATGTCAGACTTTCCGTTGGTTTGGTTGAAGACGGAAAAGGAAGCCGACACACTTCAGGTTAATTGAGCAAAGTTGTGTGAGAAGTGTTTCATCCTCCAACTCTTTCATCACTCAAAAAAAAACACCACCGTCTCCGTGTTCCTGCTCTGCTCAGCCACCTGTAGAGCATTAGTTACTGTCATACGGTATCTCCGCTAACTAATACATACAGTAATCATCGCTCTGAAGCGAGATACTGGGAGGGGAGGGGAGGGAACATGTGCCTTATTCGGTTCGGTAATTAGCTGCGAAGGAACATGCAGTGCAGTGGGTGCTGGGAGAATATGGCAGCGATGGGTATGAGCGCTGTGTAATTATGTGGGCTTCATGGTGCGTCTGAGGAATTCACAGTGGTGCTGCCTAATGATAATACTCATTCCGGGCAGTTTTGCCAATGGCGTCTATACATCCCACAACTCTGCTTTTGTGCTGAAAATACCCGTCCTGCAATTTTCAGCTACTTGTGCTGCTTTGGGGGGGAAACAAAAAAAGAACCGGCGGTGTATGCGGACTTTATTCCACCGACTGTTTTGAGAGGAGGGAGAGTGTGAAATGGCGTTTGGACGTCAGAGTGTATCCACATCCAGCTCTCTCAGGCGTCTCAGGTGATGGAGGCTGGGGGAGGATGAACTGGGGTCCTGTCAGCGTCACATGGTTCTTATCAGGATGCGCTCTGACACCGCTTTCCTTCTGTGTGATGCTCACAGACCCGTGGACGGTGTGGTGTGAGCATGTGTTGGCCTCTTCATTATCACACATTATCACAAACACACAGAGGTTCATGTGTGCTGTCTTTGTTTAAAGGATGAAACCAGTCATGTTCTGAGTTTTTATTAGAAAGAAATCCAGCAGTTAGTTCGTCCTTCACTCACGACGTTGTGTCCGTGGCATCCTCTTCCTGAAAAACAGACACAAATATACAATAATTTTATTAAGAACTGCAGGTTAGCAAAGGTACATGCATTTGTTTTGTTTTTTGCATTATATTCAGCTGTGGATTGATGTGTGTTTTGCAGATCTATGACTACATTAGAGCTGATTCACAGTGGACTTTAGTGCCCACATTAATGATAAGGAGTGAACATGTCAGCTATGTGTCTCATTTTGAGTTTTTAATATTTTTAGACGACAACAAGACATCAAGGCCACTGAAGAATAACCAACGTCAAGATTTACATTCACAAAATCATCTCTGTGTTTTCTTTAAGAACAAAAATTTCACCACATTGATCCTTTTTTGCACAAACCTGGTCGTGTTTTGTGCTCCAGGAGAATGTGCACATTGTTTGGGTTTCAGAAAAACAGATTAGGGAGAAAGAAAGGAAGGAAGGAAGGAAGGAAGGAAGGGGGGACTCCTGGAAAAAGGGAGAGTCTCCTAACGAAGAAAATGGGGGAAAAAGCAATTTAGGGCAGCTGTTGGGTGGAGGAGTGCATAATGAAAAGTGATCACATTCAGCATGGAGAATGAGGCCGAGCAGCTCCATCACCAGCGTGTGGGAGAATATGGGATTGGATATTAAATTTCTGGAACTGTTCCTTGAGTAAGGCCTGCAGCTCTCCCCCCCGATCAGATAGCACTTTTTAAACTGGATTTCTTTGCTGCCCTCCAGGCCACGCCGACATCAGTCAGAGGGTCTGTCTACCAACAGATAATGCGCCTCTCATCTCCGCACAGACACGCTCGCTTTCTGCCCCCTTATCGCCCAGCAGACGCCGGCCCTGTGACATAACATTATGCTAGTTCGCTTGTTAAAAGCTGCGGTTTTTATGTTGAAGTGTAGAATTAGTGCCCCCTGTGGAGAGGAGTCTAAATCTCTTATTTAGCGCGGGGCCACCTGTCCACTCGGCTGGAAGTGTTTAATCTGTGTGTGAGCACGCTGTGAATGTTGATCCTGTGTTCTGATCATACGCTCTCATACGTGCACCTAAAGCGAGTCCAGTGTGTTTAAAATCAATCCCTTTACCACACAGTCACTGCTTCCTCTTATGAGCATTCAGTAATTGATCAATATGGAGTCGTGAATCATAAATCATGATCATCTGAGCCGTCACTGACAGCAGCACTGGTCAACAATAGCGATTTATCTGTAATCTATAACATGCAACCCGCTGCACTGTGGAGCTGTACTGTATGTAATGTGGACACGATGTCTTTGTACCCGTGTTGGAGTCTTAGTTTGCAGTTTAGACTTACGAAAAGCTGTCTGGGAAAATATATAGATGCATTATATAGTCAAACAATGACTACATGTCAGACCTAGATGTGGTCTTTATGTAGGTTGTGTGTTAGGGTTAATGTTCTCTCCACCTCATCTGGCTTCATCTCAGAAGGTGCATGAATTCCCACAACCATTGTCAAGCTGGTAACTGAGCCGTTCTCTCCTTGTTTACTCGAATAAAATAATAATTGTGATCATGAGGACAAAGCGATGACATTTTGCATGTTCTTGGCTTTAAATGGATTTCTGTGAGATGTGGTGTGTGTACCAGTTCAACCAGTAACACACCGATAAACGCTGCCTCGTGACGTTTACGTCCTCCTTCACCTGTGTCTCTCAGCTGTCGCCAGGTTCGGAGGAAGACGACCACGAGGGTCCGGTGTGCGAGAAGCTGGGTCGCATCCAGTTCAGCGTGGGATACAGTTTTCAGGACTCCACCCTCACCGTCAAAATTCTCAAGGGCCAGGATTTGCCTGCTAAGGACTTTTCCGGCACCTCTGATCCATTCGTCAAACTCTACCTGCTGCCAGACAAGAAGCACAAATTGGAGACCAAAGTCAAGAGGAAGAACCTGAACCCCCACTGGAATGAGACCTTTCTGTTTGAAGGTATGATAATATCTCATTTTTGCACCGCATGCAAGCTCCTTTAAGCTGCTCGCTTTCTGTGGGAATCACTGCGGCACGTTAAGACTGCATAATGTGGATTTACTCCTCAGGGTTCCCCTACGAGAAGGTGGTCCAGAGGACTCTGTACCTGCAGGTCCTGGACTACGACCGCTTCAGCAGGAACGACCCCATAGGAGAGGTGTCCATCCCCCTCAACAAGCTGGACCTGGCCAACATGCAGACTTTCTGGAAGGAGCTCAAACCGTGCAGCGATGGCAGCGTGAGTAAGACGGAAAGAGGAGGAGGTGGAGGGAGGAGGAGAAACAGGGAGGAGGAGGAGGAGGAGGAGGAGGAGGGGGGAGGCGAAGATGAAGAGAAAGAGAAGATGGGACAGAATGTAACGGGTGATGTCATTCCTGGCTGCCGTGACGCTCCCGGGGGAGATGTGGCAGCGTGCTGGTGGGAGAAGGGATAGAAAGGGAATCTAGAGGAGGCTGACAGGTAGATGGAAAACACACAGACAGCCGCAGGAAGAGGCATCAGGAGAGAGAACAATGTGGGAAACGAGGATGAAAAGTAAACAAGTGGCCGTTGTTGTTGTGTGTGTGTGATTTCTCCAGGGAAGTCGAGGGGATCTGCTGGTGTCTCTGTGCTACAACCCCACAGCCAACACCATCACTGTGAGCATCATCAAAGCCCGCAACCTCAAAGCCATGGACATTGGAGGCACTTCTGGTACGGACCGCTCCTTCATCTCCCATGTCTGCTTGTTGATGCACGTCCAAATGAAAATGAGAAAATCATGTTTTTCCTTGTTCTCTGCTGGGAAGTGACATTAAATCCACCATAAGACATTCAGCTGTGGTAAAACAGGAGTGAGGTTTTCTTTATTAACCTGCATCCTCGCTGCCCTCTTCTCAGACCCCTATGTTAAAGTGTGGTTGATGCACAAGGACAAGCGCGTGGAGAAGAAGAAGACGGTGGTGATGAAGCGCTGCCTGAACCCTGTTTTCAACGAGTCCTTCCCCTTCGACGTGCCTGCCCACGTGCTGAGGGAGACCACCATCATTATCACTGTCATGGACAAGGACAGACTCAGTCGCAATGATGTCATTGGAAAGGTATCTCCTTCCCTCTTCTTCTTCTTCGCCTCTTCCTTCTTCTTCTTCTCTTCCTCTGTGCTTTTCTGACTCTGTGACAGACCATCAGCGGCTGATCGTTGAGCCAGTCTACACTGACCCCTACTGGAGCACGAGGCCCAGTCTCCTGCAGCGTAGCACAGCACAGGAGGAACCACTGGGTTACAACCAGTTGCTTTAGTTAGACTCACAACAGTGATGAGGAGGGGTGACGTGCAGGTAGATACAGGTGCAAGGTGTGTCCAAACCCTCCTAATTAAACCTAAACGAGGGCTGTTGAACAGGTCAGCATCAAATGATCTGCTAGTGATAAAGAAAAAAGCATTTTGGGAAGAGATTGGACCGTTCATATTCCTCACTCTCTTATATTATTATGTCTGATATGAATATTTTAAGGATGTTACCCGGTTTTGCCAAGAGATTAGCTCATTTTACTTGTGGTCTAGAAGGTTTTTTCTTTATTATTCTTTTTATAGAACTGCTCCTTTTTAAACACAAATAAAAATCAATTCATTTTCCATTTTTTTATTAAACATGTAATCCTTTCTATATGTGTAGTTTACCCGTTGATGTGAATAAATTCACCTCTACGTGTGACAGATCAACAATTTAACCACATTTCTGCTCCACCTATAATTACTGCCAAATCACTTTTGTTTTTAACTTTCAAGAAATCACCAGAATTTACTTTAACTTATAAAATATAGAAATGAGTCGTTCTAGTTGTTCCACGACGTCAACTTCATACCAGTAACTGATTCACATCTGTAACAGGACTTGGTGCAGACGGACTGTTTATTTTGAACCACACGCCACCATAAATACAGATATATACAGTTAAAGAAGATTTCTGACACTATTTAAAAGTGATTTTCAGTCCAACATGCTGCAACAATCAGAGCTCAGAATCCAATCTGCGTTCCTTTAGGCGTTCTTCATGCTTCTCGTCCGTCCTCTGCAATTACACATCCATGCAGTAATTGCAGGTGCTGCAGCCTCCTCCTTGTCATCCTAACCACATATATTATCTGCCTACATGCAGCAGCTATAAGGTGCTGCCTATTATTCCACACTCTGCTCAAAAACTGGTCGGAGGAGAATGAAAACCTCATATTTCGCGGACAGATCTGGAGATTCTTCTTTCATTCAAATCACTTGAAGTTTTGGTCTTCATTAGCGGCGACGTTAGTCTTTCTTAGAGTATTCCAGTGGATGGCATCTCTTCCTTTAATCGCTCTTTTTTCTGCTGAGTTCGAGTGGCAGGATTAGTGATGCCAGCAGGGCTGCTTCCAGTGAGCTCTTACACTCCTACTGCTTCCTGGGACTGCTCTTTACAAATATCATAAATCTAATACAGATATTACGCCGGCTGTGTCTTTCTCACAGATTTATCTTTCATGGAAGAGTGGCCCTGCAGAAGTAAAACACTGGAAAGACATGATGGGGCATCCTCGTACTGCCGTGGCCCAGTGGCATGCTCTCAAGGCCTGAGGGACCAGCTACCAACCTGCCTACAGTGTTCCCCCCTTCAAGGATCCAGCATCAGCCTCCCGGCCCTCAGCACACATCCCCTGCTCCCTGAACGCAGTCTCCAGGCTGCAGACCATGTATCATCTCTTTGTTCTCAGGCCTCTTTGATATTCCTCGCCCTCAGTCCTTGTGACACCGTCTTTAAATTTCACCCCTGTCAAGCTCTGATTCCCACCTGACTCCCTCTCATCCGTTTGTCTGAACTTAAAAACGTCTTTGATGTCTTTACTTACTTCCTCCTTGTGCCCTCTTTAGGAGATTTTCTTTCTTTTTCTTTTTTTTCCTCCCCTCCCTCCGTCTGTCTGTCTGTCTGTCCTCCGCCATGTCAACCATTCCCAGTGTTTAACATACGAGCGGTACCTCTTGCCACCCGTGAATATAAACTACCAACCAAAAATGAAATTCATATTCCAACCATCGTCTGTGGCGGCAAGACGGGCTGCGTTCAAACATGCACATGAGTGTGACCGGCACCGAGCCTGTGCAACCCATTTAGCCTCCACATGCGGCGGCACTGCAGCAGCGAGGAGTCCTCCTCTCTGCCGTTCGCCTTTTTATCTCACGTCCTCTTCCTTTTCCGTCACTGTTCCTCCATGCCATTAAAACGCCTGAAAAATCAGGAAAGCCGACGCAGGCGATGGCAGAGTGACGGGCTGTGTTTGAAATGGACTGCAACTGGACTCTGTCACTCGACTCATGTTTGAACTTTTTTCACTTTTCGCTCTTACTCTGGTACCACTGTAATAATTCTCCCCTTGGCTGGAACCCTTTGTTGTCTGTGCGTGCTGTGGGTGATGTGCCGTAACCCCAAAAATAGGATGTGAACAAGAACATTGAACACTGGTCTGATCGGGCAAGTGTCAAAAAAAAAACAAAAAAAATCAAAAAGATAATTTCCTATTTTCTTGGAAAAGAAATCCCAGTGGACAGAAAGGAAAAAAAATAAAGTGATTAATGTTGTGTTTTATTTTTTGGTTTGAAAAGAACTTAGAGAATCAACCTGTTCTTCCAGAAAATAAGCAAAAAGCAGCTTCCATGCGCGTGGAAGTGGAATAACGTGTGAGTGTTTGTGTGCGAGTGTTTTAGACGGTTTAACCGACGATAAGTCGAAAACAAAACTGCCCTTGCTAATGATGGTAGAGCTGTTAGGATTCGTGGTGTTGCGGTTAGCCGAGCACTTGGGAGGAGGTCACCGAGGTTAAAGGGTCGGTCCGCCCAAATCACAGACCATAGGGAGGACTTTGTGATGAGCTTTACCCCCAATATGAAGCAGGACAGATAGTTTCAGGGAGAATTTATCTGCATTGAGCAGCTTGTCTGATGAAACATGTGACAGCAGCAGCTCTCCTGGATAATCGAGGGTGTTTAACTGAAACTCCTCCACCTGCGTTCAGCTCCAGTGGTCGGAGAGGTCTTTGGCAACAGGGTGGAAACTGAACCTGAAGCTTTCTGCATGGCTTCATATTGTGAGGGGTGAATGGGTAAAACATGTTTTTGTTTTCATGACAAAAAAAAAAGAAAAAGCCTTAACACAGGTCTCCTTTCTGGCTTTTTACTGCTTTTAAGCCCGAGACACAAATTACAACACCCTGAGGAAACACAGACAAAGAGCTCGCGGCACAATCACGCCGCCGCTTGGTTTCGGTGCTGCTCAGAACAGTTTGTGGTCGGTCCTCAGATTTGGGATTAAACTACGCAGACTGTGAAAGGCTGGAAAGTAGAACCACAGGTTGATTTTATTATTATTGTCGCCTTTCTGTTTCCAGTGTTGAGAGCGAGTGTTAAGGCTCATTGTGTGATTTGGGAGAACAGACAATTTAAGAGTTCAGGCAGTGAACGGCTACAGGTGGAAATCATCAATCGACCAATCAGAACACGCTATCCCTGTCGCCCACATCAGTGTGTCTCTTCCATTACTGAATCCCCCGACCCTCCTCTCTGTTCAGGGTGACAGAGGACAGTACTAGACCTGAGTCTGTGCTGTCTGGAGGTCAGTCTCCCAGCTGTCTGCTGTGCTGCCTGAACGTGACCTCCCTCCGGTCCCGTATGGACACGTGCTGATCACATGAACGGGAACAAATTAGAATAATAATAATATCCGGGGGGGAAAAGTCTTTTTACATTCCACGGTTTTTGTCTACTGGATGTGTGTACGTGTGCATGTTTGCGCTGTGGGTGTGAGTCAGTATTTGGACTTCAGTTTGTGTGATTGTATTTATTGTGAGTCCCTCTGTGTGTATCTGCACTAAGTTCTATTTTGCCAGTTTAATACGGAACCGCGTTGTTTTTATTTTGTATGATTCAAGATGTACAAAGAAATATGTTCTGTTTTTTTAAAGCTGTCACTTCTTTAAGAATCACTGCACTTGCTGCCGACGATGCTGGAACAAACCTCTCTCCATCGCACGGTTATTTTCCTCATGTGTGGTTTAACAGGGACGTTTGTCAGACACGAGCTGAGAGTGAAGGTCAGAGGAGTGTCGCAAACGAGCTTTACGGCAACCGTCGATTTAAAAAAAAAAAACTGTTTCTTTCAACCGTCATGCACCAGATTTTTAGTTCGGACAGAAGCAGCTACCAACATTTTGTCCTGAATGTCCTACCTGTCCTTCCTATCTGGTCCAATCTGATTCACCGAGGCCAAAAACCGAAGGGTGGCTCCTTAACATCACAGCTGACGCTCCCCTCAAAACACCCCCATTGTGCACACATGCTTTCTGGCACAAAGTGTTCTGTGTGTGCCTTATGAACCCCGCCACGCCGTGCTCTTCACCATATGCGCTCCCTCTCCAAGTGTCAGGGAGGGGAGGAAACAAAAGGTGAGACAGGAGATAATCATCACCTCTTTGCATCACCGTTCGCTACGTCTCAGGTCAGAGCCGAGCATCGGAGCATCCCAAAATAACCAGGAGCATAGTCATGTGTCTGTCCCGATGGCCCCTTCAGCCAGGGGCCGCTTCAAATGCTGCCGACGAAGCATTACATTCCAAAGGCTTGAGGAAAAGTCACTTTGATCAATGCAACTTAAATATCGGTTAAAGATCAGTCAGGGTTTGGTATATTTTTTTAAAGAAATCGAGCTAGATTCGTCTTTCTACACTCTTCACTGGCCAAACTACCACACACTGGTAACGTTTACTGGACAAGCTCGCATTTCTGTTTTAGGGCATTCTCTTACGGGGACTGCTTGAGACACAGAGAGGTTAACCAGCAACATTTTAATTTATATACTGTATAAATGATTGTGAAGTGTCCTGTATGAACAAAAAGAAATGAAAAAAATGAAAAAAAATCATCAGTATTTACTGGGGTTGTTGATATCTGTGTGTCCTTGGTATCACTGCGCCCCTCGTTCACTCCCTTCTCTCTTTGTAGTTACACATCCGTGGGGTGCCCGATGTTAAATATCAACCATTTATTTTTTTGAGATCTGTACAGTGTATATAATAATATAAATGTGTATATAAAACAAAGATACTTCTGGTCTCGTATTGTTATGACTTTTTCAGAAGCTGTTTTTTTTTTTACTGGTATTATTTTTTCTTCTTTAGGTCACACATTTTACTACAAAAAGGAAAGAGCTGCCTTCACGTTAAAGATAAGTCCCTTTAATTGACTTAAAAAATAACTCCATGCATTCAGAATCCTAAAACAGCTTCTGCTTAAAGCATCTAATGAAGAAAGAAGTCATTCTGCAGAAAGTACGGATGAAAAACAAAACTGATGCATCACAGATCTAAGGTTTGAAATAACCAGACGATATGATGCTACAGGCTCCAGCTGGAAGGTCTCTGGTTGGCGTCCCGGTGAGGACACCCGGGGTCTTCCTGCGTGGAGTCTCCATGTTCTCCCCGTGCAGCGTGGGTTCTCTCCGGGTTCTCCGGCTTCCTCCCACAGTCCACAAACATGCTGAGGTTAATTGGTGATTGTAAATTGTCCGTAGGTGTGAATGTGAGTGTGCTTGGTTGTCTGTCTCTAAGTGTAGCCCTGTGATAGACTGGTTACCTGTCCAGGTGAACCTGCCTTCACCCTGAGTCAGCTGGGATAGGCTCCGCCCCCCATGACCCTGGTGAGGATTAAGGTGTAGAGATGATGGATGGATGTAGATTAAAAAACAACCGTTAAAGAAGTGTCATGGAGTGAAAGTGTAGTGTTTTCATGTGACATAAATGTGAGGTGTACCATAGAATGAAAGTAGTAAAGGTCAAAAGGTCGAGCATCTCATAGTATCTCAGCTGTTCTCGTGTAAATGTACGTAGTTAGTTTTGCTGCAGCCCAACAAACAGCCCACGATGCTGCCACACAGCTCTGACTGTAAACCACCAGCCCTGTAGAGCACACGTCTCACTGAGGTTTGCTGATAACTTTTAAACAAGTTTAACTGCAAATGCATGGACCTACTGAACAACATATTCTCATGTGCTGTCTCTCTTCCAGCTTCAGCAAAGACAGGGTTTGAAGGCTCTTCTAGAATTAAGGAACTCGCCTGCCGCGCCTCCTACACACTAAGTTTCACCGCATCTCCAACACAATACCGACGAAGAGGAGAAGCTGCGCGAGTGTGCAGCGATGACAGAAGGTGTTTAATTCACCAACTTATCTAACACTTCCATCCTTAAAATTAAACGTGGCGAGCCTCCTCTCAGAGCACTTTTCTTTGGCGCACGACTCTCCGGCAGTCAGAGGGAAGACAAGAGGCAGGCTGGGGGTGCTGCTGCTGGAAAGAGGAAGCATAAGCACATGAGATTGAAATTCCAGGGGAGCGGAGGGTGATGGCAGGGCTGAGGATGAAACAGAGCGCTGTCACGACACGGGAAGCAGCAGTGGAGGATGACAGGAGCGCTGGGCTACAGATAGGCACAGTGGGTGTGCGTGGGCAACTGATGAATATACACTCTAAACAAGCCTCAGAGCAATAAAGACATGAATTGTGCTTCCCCTGCATGTGGGATCTTAAGGTGGAATCCTTTTTTTTTTCAAGGCAGGGATTTGTGACAGCCACCATGAATCACATCCAGTTACAGTTACAGTGGAAACATTCTCACATCCGTTACAGCAGCACAGCAAAGCCAAGGTAATGTTATTTAGAACAAGTTAAGGCTCTTCATTAAACTATCCTCCCTAATAGAGAGCTTCAAACTTACACCGCGTTCCACATTATGATGCAAATTGTATGTAAGTGTGATGAAGATTACATTTTTTGTTTTTCAGTTAAACCCATGGACGGCGCCGTGTCTCAGGGCTCGTTGGATCACTGACATCAGTCTCAGACTCCTGTGATAACTAGTTTAACAGGTAAGCACAATTAAAGGAAAACCTACTAAAGAAGGATGTTCCACATTATTAAGCAGACCACCTTTTACAAGCAATACGGGAAAGAAGAAGAACCTCTCTGCTGCTGAAAAGTGTGAAACAGCTGAATGCCTTGGACAAGGTATGAAACCCTTAACTACCTCATGTATTCAACAAACAACCATTTTCAGTTCTCTACAACCTATAAAATGTTTTGGAGCTCTGTCGTGCGTAATAATGTGGAACAGTGCGTTTTAATCTGCCATCATTGGGAGGTTTGTTCAATAACATTTGAATTATGCTTTAACGTCTGATGACTTGAAAATGATGCTGACTGTCATTCGCATCGACTGTTCAGGAAAATCAAAGAAAAATATAATTTGCATAATAATTTGGAACGGGGTTTACAGTTAAACATCTAATGGAAAAGGTCCCTGGGACTGAAAAGCATACATCTAGATATACTACTTAACGTAAGCCATGCATGTGTAGGTTGCATTTTACTGCTGTAGGTGCTGGTGGAGGATCTACCTCATATACAGGTAGCTAGCTGAGTCCAGTGGTTCACAGGTGAGGGTTCAAAAGGCCCCTCCATAGGCAAGGCAGGTTTATTTGTATCGCACAATTCGTAGCCGAGATAATTCAAATTGCTTCAGACAAAAGTATAAGAAGACAGAAAAAATCAGTCCATAGAACATAAACACAATTATTAATTAATGAAATTAAAAGCAAAAGGCAGATAAAATCAATCCATAAAAACATCATCTTTAATTAGAAGAGTACAGATTCAATACTTCCAGCTGTCATATACACAACATAAAAATGTTTTCAGCCTGGATGTGAACATGGTCAGAGCTGAGGCCCGTCTCACATCTTCTGAAATCCAGTTCCAGATTTTAGCTGCATAAAACCAGCAGGAGACCCTCCCTGAGGTTCTCAGAGGAGGAGTAGTAGTAGTAGTGGTACTAGTAGTAGTAGTAGTTCTAGTAGTAGTAGTAGCAGTGGTAGTAGTTGTAGCCTTACTGTGTCTGGTTGTGACTCTGGGCACCAGCAGGAGACCCTCCCTGAGGTTCTCAGAGCCCGACATGGTTCAGATGGCACCAACATGTCAGAGATGGACTTTGATGCTGGACCATGAAGACACTTGGACACAAGCAGAGCTGTTCTAAAGTCATCCTCACAGGAGAACGAGACAAATCTGGGGGGTGATTAGTGACACTGCTACATATCTGTGTTCGTCTTTTTAACTTTTCCTGAGTTCTTGTATAATTTCAACTCTTTGGTCCGGACCTGGTTTCACTTTGGTGGAACTACAGCTCCCGAGACGTGATAAACTGCCCTCATCAGACTTTTTATTTTTAAAGCAGTCACAATGCAAAGCTGTTGGGAATCCCTGCTTTATGCTTTATCTGTTTTTTGGTGTTTTTTTCTGCCATATAGAGCCTTCATCCCCCCTATAGCTGTCAAATAATTACATATAAGGAGCGTATGCGGAGAAATGCGGTGGAGCAGAAGTCGCTGAAAATGAAAACACTTAAGTAAAGTAGCTCAATTATTTTTCTTAAATAGAGTACTTGAGTAAATCAACTTGGTTAATTTCCACCACTGATTAAGATTAAGGATGAGACAGATGGTGGAAGGAAACGCAGAGGGGAACCCTTCTGACATCATCTCGGTCTATTTTAGGACAAGCTGACAACATAGAAAACCAAAGTGCTCGTTGTTACTCAACCCTTTTGAAATGATGCACCAGGAAATGCATGTGAACCTGAGTGTGGGCCTCGTGTCGGGTCCTTGTTTGTGTAACGCCTCGGCTGTGGATCATGTGTGCATTATGATTCTACGGCCGTACGCAAGCAGGCTCGTCGTCTGTTTACACATTCTGTGCACGTCCTCTGGCCAGAGGGCATTTCCCTTCTGCACTCAGTACAAGGTTCCACTGAACCGACATGACACGCAGCCGGACAAGAAATGTTCCCCATGGTCAGGACACGCTGGTCCAGCGGTGGAGCAGAGGAACCACTGGGTCTGCATGACTTCTGGTAAATATGTGGTTTAATTGGAATCTTTGCAGAAACGATCGCTGTTGAGTTTTGTTGTAAAAAGATGCAAAAAAAGAAAGAAAACAGAGAAACAAGGCTTCCTTCATGTTTAATAAGTCTTTTATTCAAACACAGTCATTTTGTGGCCCTATGAGGTGATTTTTTGTTTTATTTTCCAGGCAGCTCAGCTCATAAAGCTTCTCAGCAAACTGCCTTTTACATAAACACAGCAGCTGATATTTTCACACATGAAAACTACAGTATGTGTGATTATATGAGGTACTGGCCGAGCCTTTCACCAGCGGTACCAAGACGAGCAGATGCTTTGATTTGACACTGAACGGAGGTGATCTGCTTCCATCTGCTGTCTGTAAACACACACTGCAGGCGGCACAACCTTGGTTATGTAACAGAGACCGTCCACAGCGTCCGTCGTGTCGTCCAGCGGTCATGTGATCCAACCGTGTGGTCATTTGTTAAACAATAAACACAGAAAAGAGCACGGCATCAACATTTATTAAATAACCCATAATGTCTGGAACAGGCACAGAGGAAGCATCGTACAGATCAGCTGGTGTCTATTTATCACCGCTCACTTATTCTGTGTCTGAGAAGCTTGAATTTACAGAACTGGATGAATATATATATATATGTATATATGTACAAAACATGAAGAACAGCTCCCTCATGTCTGATCCACAAACCTCCCTCGACTTTATTAAATGTCCCTACGATGATCAACAACACACATGACGTAGTGGAGCGCGCCTTTATGGCCGCGTTATTTCATGGAAACAGTATTAGATCAAAATGTACCCCAGATGTTCTGCACCCTGCAGTGTTCTGCACACTCTGCTGACTTTGGGAGGATGTTTTCTGGAGGCTGATTCCACTCATATCCACTCAACAGGCCTCCTTTAATGTGTCTCTGAGGAGGTCTGGAGGGCCAAGGACCTCACTGGCTCTCTTTCTCCAGGTACTCCAGGCTGGGCGCGTCGAGCCTCTGTTCTTGGTTGCGGTTCTTTGTGAACTCCTTCAGCAGATCCATGACCTCTCCCTGGTAGACGTCAGGCGTGGGCTGAGCTTCTGCAGGCAGAGAGAGCAGGTTTCATTATGTTCAGTCTCCAACTTACTGGAATTTCAGGTTCTTGCTTTTATGTAAGAAGATTCTTCAGGAGACAGATGGCGGAAGAGGAACGAGCACTCGGTAGGGAGTCCTTCTGACATCACCTTGGTCTATTTAAGGACGATCTCGGGTCATTTATTTAAAAGGCTGACGTAGGCGGACAGAACGTCACATTTTCCTCCAGATGATAACAATAAGAAAAAGCACATTTCCTGTTGCAGTCACAGGTACAGGCACCTCGTCATTTATACCTCCCTCATCCTCAACAGTATCTGTGTGACCTTGACATTTCTGTTTTCAAACCATCTTAATCAATAACTGAGTAATTAGTAGTTTCAGGAGCGTCAGGTTGCAGCAGCTGATTCTGATTTGTCCCCAGTAGCTGCCGGAGGAATTTGTCGCTGCCATTTCCACACTGACTCTATTTTTCGGCTGCTGTGCACAAAACAGACAAATAATTGAATCAAATTAAGAGCACATTAGAGCAATAAAACGGTAAGTTACCCGGGGACGGTGAGGACGCAGCCAAAAGAGACAGAAAAGGAAAAACAATCCCAGCAGAATCAAAGATCATTTGTAAGAGTTATTAATTATTCCAGCATCAGCGACAAAGACTGACTGCCAATTTAAAAAACAAGTCCTTTATAATTATTATACCCGTTACAGTTTTCCACGTTTTTATTAGTCTGAAATTAAAACGAGCATCTTTGCTGCTGCTAAAGCAACAAGACAAAGCAAATATGTATGAACTGTAATTTGTATAAACGATAATAAAAGGCTAACGGGGTTCATTAAGGTAATTCATTAAGTATGCAAATGTTTTGCCGTGTGATTTTAAAGAATATATCAAATTCCTTTTAGTGTCTGAACTTACTGGAGCCATCTGCTGCTGGCTAATGATTTGCTTTATTGGATTATTTTTAGGTTTCCTTGTACAGCACCTTCATACGGCAACTCAAAGTGTGATGCACAAGAATCAATAACACAAGAACAGGCAACAACAGGGAGCAAGCAACGTGATAATAATAATAATAATAATAAAACTTGCCAGCAATGAAACAACAAACCTGAGAAAAAAAAGAGCTAATAATCAAGGTGCTGATGATCATGAAACATTAACGGCTGAATGTTGTGGAGGGAGTTAATTAAAGGTTTTAATGGCTTTTTAAAGTGCTTGTGTTTCATATTTTGGGAGCATAATTTTAGTAGCCTGACTGAAAGTCAGTAAACAAGTTCTATAAATACCCGGGAGCCAGTGTGTTAACGTGCTGTATGAGATGTGAGCAGTATTACATGTTTATGAAGAAACACGTGACAGAAACAGAACCAGTCTCCCACCTGTGGCCCAGTAGTAGATGTCCCAGTCATTGCTCGGTTCATTAATCAGTCTGTCGTACTGCTGCAGCTGCTTCTCACTCATTGTGTTCAGGTAGCGCTTTGCAAAAAGGCTGCAAGAGAGACGGAGAATTCATTAGAGTCTCTCTCAATGGAGAGTCGTCGCTGTAGGTTATCTGCTGAATGGACTGTTCAGGATGAGCTTCAACGAGAAGAAGTCTCTGAATGGAGCTGAAAAAAAATAACACTGCTCCAGCTTACAACTTGCACATCCATCCATCATCTCTACACCTTAATCCTCACTAGGGTTATGGGGGGCGGAGTCTATCCCAGCTGACTCAGGGTGAAGGCAGGTTCACCTGGACAGGTAACCAGTCTATCACAGGGCTACACTTAGAGACAGACAACCAAGCACACTCACATTCACACCTACGGACAATTTACAATCACCAATTAACCTCAGCATGTTTCTGGACTGTGGGAGGAAGCCGGAGAACCCGGAGAGAACCCACATTGTAAAGAACAGGTCTGCATATATTTTCAAGTTTGTTCACACGTTCATACAGTGAGAACATACGTGTGCGTACATCTAACTACAGTGTTTGTATTTAAAACACTGAATAAGTCAGACAGCTGAAGCCTCATAATAACCAGCTGAGCTTCATAGATCTTTTTCTTTTGCACAGAAACAGGACTATCTGATCCTATTTTAACTCACATTGCCTGCTTTGAAACTGCTTAAAAGGGAATCCAGTGTGGATGGTAGAAACATTTACGGCGACTGTGGACTTCTATAAATGTAAACTCATCCTTTAAGGTGAACAGAGTGGCTAGAGGGCACAAAGAGGAGAGTTCAACCACCTGAGCAGGATGCAGTTCTCCAGCATGCCCCTCTTACGGCTCTCGTAGAGAAGTCTGCGTCTCTTGATGTCGGTGGGCTCGTCCAGCTTCTGCTCCCAGGGGGGCAGAGGGATCTCGATCAGGTCACCCCTGGTGTCGTCAGGAGCGTCTCCGCGGTAACCACGAGATGACACCAGGCCTGTGACCACTGGCCTCCACGCCGCCTGACACACACCTGTAACCAGCTGACACACAACAAACACACGAGTTTAGACGAAATCTGCTGAAACATGCGGCTGACATGTCTGTGTTCATCATCACCACATCAGATGGTGCATTTTAAAACACCGCCTTTGTTTAGGGTGAGATTACTGCAGCGGCTTCTACGTAAAAGCATATTCAGCTGCTTCATGAGCACACAGAATGAATGACCTGCCTGCTTCAATGTCAGACACTGTTTGCATAAGTGTCCTATTGTTTTCTTTGTAGAATTATTTTAGTATTATTATTACTTAAACCATGCCATAACCATGGATGACCTGTTTCAATGTCAAAGTGTTTACAGTAAAGTCCTACTATTTTCTTACCGGAATTATTTTACTTTTTATTACTTATTTAACACGGTAGCAGCTTTTGTGAGAATTATTCTACCTTCAGGTTCTTAGCTTTGAATGCAGAACAGTTAGACATGCATAGAAGTAGACATGTACATACATACTGTTAGAAAATAATCCCAGTTACATATTTTCCCAACAGTCCTGTTAATAAATGTGAGTCACCCAGAGACTAAATAATTTTATGTGTCACTTCAGATGTTACCTACATTCAACTTTTTTTCCTACTTGGAATTATGAGATGATGAAATGAAGAAGTATTGAAAAGGACGCAGAAGGTGAGCATCGAATCAGCATTTAATTTGAAAAGTTGATTTCTTTATTTTTTTTAATCCCTTTCTCGCTCTCTTACAGGACCTCCACAGTATATACACTCATATATTTTTTTTTCTTGTGTGTTTTATTCTTTATTCTTATTCATCTTGTTCATATTGTTTCAGTGTGGAACAGGTGAACAACGCATTTATAGCAGGTATGACTGTGTTTGTGACCAACAAAAGCCTTGAATCCATCTGCAGTGTTTTCCCCACGTGTAAGAACCAAATTCAACTCTTCCTTTCATGAAAAAAGCTCTTGTTGTTTCCCACTAGATGAAGACCTTGACAGTTCCCTCAGCCTGTCTCTAGCTCCTCTACAGTAACAACAACAGAGGAGATTGCGTAACACCGCACGCTGCCTGTTGTACAACCGCTTACTTCTGGGTTGTACAACCGTCCTCCGGCACCAGTCAGGGTGAACCGAACCGGTCATTAATGATACCGTTATTAATGCTGCACTATCACACAACTGGTTTCACAGTTCTGCCGAGTCGTATTATTACTGAACACTACATAATGTGCAGCTCACGTTGAAGTGGTCCAGGAGCTCTGCCGTTAGCGCCGGTGCAGCGTTCAAGGTTTCAAGAACACCAAATGTAGAAGTAATCAAATACTACACGACTCACCCTCTTCGCAAGAGCAGAGCACAGCATTGTCACGTCTTTCTTGTACCGTCCTCAGACCCACTGAAGCGCTTCTTCTCCGTCAAAACGTTTCTGGTGTCCGACAGAACTTACACAAGCTGGTGACGTCACAGCAGCGCGTCGCCAACTTCCGACCTTACACACGCCGCCATGTTGCTAAGGTAATGCTGTTTTATTTCAGCCACAAGAGAATAAAATTGACGCTAAAACAGTATAAAATGGGTATTATTTCATTACTGTATCTCTCTTCAGTGTAGCGGATAAATACGTGTCCCTCGCTTCGGAACCGAACGGGGTTTGGCCATAGGAACCAAATGTTCGCTGTTTGTTCCCAGCCGGTTCAGTATCCCGGCGCACTGAACTGTTAAAGATTAGCAATATTAGCATTAGCCGATCAAAGAGCGAGCATGTTGTCGTGTTAACTAGTTGTGTGTGTGTGTGTGCAGTCACGCATGAAACACCGCGTGTGTGTTTTTTAAAGTGTCCATTAAACAGACGTGTTTACGGAACGCAGGCTCGTCTCGTCGTATTCTCGGTTTGTAATATTTTGTTTTAGCTGTTCTGTGTTTTGTGTGTTTTTTTTGCAAACTCGAGCGGACCGTTGGCTAACAAAACAAGGCATTACGGTAACGGTTCTTTTTTAAATGTATATCTATATATTGGCATTACACCTGTTGTCGGTATGCATTTATAATTTGCAAAGAGTGCAAGTACAAAGTACACGGTGAAATCAAACCGTCTGCAGTGGCAGCATCTGCTCATCACAGGCCCACGGGATGGCTGCTGCGGGACCTGCAGCCGGACCGAGCACCTCCAAAACAGATGTAGACATCTACAGCGACCTGAACCAGAACGATGAGGTGAGTCAGACAGGAGCACACTTTTAATTTAGGTTAATGCATCAGTGAGAGCACTTTGCATTGGTGCAGTTTAGATGCACATTTTTCCTGGTCGCAAATGGTTTGTTTGGAGTTTTAAACTTCCAAGGAGGACATGAACATGCATCAATCAGACTCAGAATCAAAATAGAAAGGACCTTCTTCTTGTTAGGTGTTGCTGTTGAAGCCTGTGTAAACATGGTGTGGCCTGTTTCAGCTTTGCAGTCCATTGAGTTCAGTCTGGAGAGAGTGCTATCACATTATCTACAATAAATACACATCTGGACTGTGATTAGCTTTATTGTTTCCTCCATAGAAAATGCCATCTGAAGTAGGACTTTGTGACTTTCAAGCTGCTAATAATAAGACAGACAACACATGGCCAGTTCCCTCCCATGACACACCTTCTGCTGACACACCTACTGAGAGCTTTAGGATTTGGGTTTCCTCAGGCGCTGTTTTTTACGGACACTCTGCTCATTGACACACACAGGATTGTAATTTAAACTGTTTCCTAATTTATTACTTGGGTTAGGCAAGTTTATGTCTCTTTCATAGGACTTTTTATTTACGTAGTACTTTTCTACTTTTCTTTTACATATTTTATTTATAATTTGTTCGATCCAGATTCCTTATTTATTCCTGTCTTCTTGTTGTTGTGAACCAGTCTCATTCACCACGCCACAGTCCTTGTGTGTGTGCGAGCTCACTTGGCAATAAAAAAGCTTCTGATTTTGATTGACATTATAAAGAAAAGTAATGTGGTCTTATTTTCTGTCCCACAGGATTTGGACAGAATCGCTGAAGCAAATGAACTTTTTGATGCCGTTCTAACGGGTTCAGTTAATCAAGACAAGAAGATCTCTGCTAATGTGGCTGCTTCTAAGAAGACACCAGCTAAAGAGGAGAAGAAAACAACAGAAGTGAAAACCCTGAAAGGAGGACACTCGTTTAGGAAACTGTCGTTATATATTGGAAACTTTCCCTGGGTGAGTGCATCGACCGTGAGCAGCAGCTTCTCTGTGTCAGAGTTGATTTTATTTGTCACTTATCAATACACTTATTACAAGAAAACAGAAATAATGTCCCCTGAGATGAAGGCTTGGGAAGATTACATTGAAAAAGAAGGGAGCCATTTACACTTTTCTTTTATTCCTAAACATGATCAGATAACCTGCAATCCTCCTTCAGTCAAACACCTTTTTTTATTTTAAAGTTTGTAGAATCATTTCATTTCAGAACTATAATGCTGAGCCAAATAAAACGTCCCACCAGGTTTGCCATTTGTTTGTACGACTGGCATTATTGCAATTCGTTATCAGGTTTATAGACACTACATGGCTGCTCAGAATGCTCTTAAATGTGTGTTTTTTTATTTTTAATTCTGATTTGCATGAGAGTTAACAAACTGGACTGAGCTGATAGGTGGTCTGCTATACAAGACAAATTCATTTATGCACAAAGGGATGTTATTTGTATCTTCAGTACACATCCTATTAAACTCACCACCACAAGGCAATGGTGTGGGTTCACAGCCCACTTCCACTCTGTTGTGTGAGTGTAAACAGGACAAAGGCTCGCACGAGACTCAGCCTCAGAAAACTCTTTCTAGGTAGGTGGCCTCAATTACATCTTCAAGGTGATGTGGGAGCTCCTCAGCTGTGAAAACTTTCTGGGGCACCCCACTAGCTCACTTATTAGAGCCTTAACACAACTTGAATTAAGGTGTATTAAGTCTCTGATCATCCATCCATCCATCCATCCATCCTTAATCTTCACCAGGGTCATGGGGGGCTGGAGTCTATCCCAGCTGACTCAGGGTGAAGGCAGGTTCACCTGGACAGGTAACCAGTCTATCGGCTCCTGATCATCCGAAAAGAAATTTTCTTGAGAATTTCTTTTATTACAGGAGTCTCCATGTTCTCCCCGTGCAGCGTGGGTTCTCTCCGGGTTCTCCGGCTTCCTCCCACAGTCCAGAAACATGCTGAGGTTAATTGGTGATTGTAAATTGTCCGTAGGTGTGAATGTGAGTGTGCTTGGTTGTCTGTCTCTAAGTGTAGCCCTGTGATAGACTGGTTACCTGTCCAGGTGAACCTGCCTTCACCCTGAGTCAGCTGGGATAGGCTCCGCCCCCCATGACCCTAGTGAGGATGAAGGTGTAGAGATGATGGATGGATTTCTTTTATTACAACGTGTTTAAAGGGACAGGTCACAGACTGACATTTAGTTTAAATGTGAATTATAGGTAACGCGAGGTTAATAGTAACACCTGTTTTAATGTCAGCAAGTCGTCTCAGTTTACTTTAACCAACTTGGTTTACTGGATCCACCAAAAAGTTTCACCCTTTACGACATGTGAGTCTGTTTTGTCAGTCAGCCCTGTTTTTATATTTTTATATTTTTATCTTGTACCTTACTCTATATTTATTGTTGCACCGACCCACCAGAATAAATTCCTCGTATTGTGTGAACTATTCCTGGCAATAAATCTGTTTCTGATTCTGATAAAGACCACAAGCTACCTTCCACCGTTCTGCCATTTTATTCTTCCTTCTTTCCAAACCTGTTGTCAATATTTGCAGTGGACATCTGACAAGGACCTGGTGGGCATGGCCCAGACGCTGGGCGTGAGGGACATCGCAGAGATCAAATTTGCTGAGAACAAAGCTAACGGCCAGTCCAGAGGGTGAGTGTTCACAGAGTATTATCTTGAAAGAGTAATAATTAGTTGTTTTTTTTTAACGAGAGGAAGCTTGTGTTTTTATTTTGCTGACCTCCTGTCGGTAACCACACATGTACTGTTCCTTCTGTTATGTGATGCAGCTATGCAGAGGTGGTGGTAACGTCGGAGGAGTCGCTAAAAATATTGTTGGAGAAAATACCTCGGTGTGAAGTCAACGGTGAGAGGGTGGACTGTCGCTTCGCCACTCGCCAGAACCTCAATGTTTTTGAGGAAATAGCAAATAAACGTAAGCTTCAGAAGCCACCGCTGATGTTACGCTGCATTGCAAAATGTCGTTATGTCGTCATCGCTAACAAAAACGCTGTCCTCCTGCAGGTATACCCCTACGTGTCAGCTCCAAAGATACCAAGGAACCAGAGTCCACTGATAAGATTCCCTCATTACTATCGCAGAAGCCCAGCCCTCCCCCGATTCCTCCACTTCTCCCCTCGCATCCACTTGCAAACAGGTTTCCTTCATTACCCGGCCCGTGTCTCGGGCAGCCGCCTCCGCTGTTTCCACATTTTTCACCGACGATCCCTCCGCCGATGCCACCGAGTTTGTTCCCGTCTCATCCCGGCCAAGTCCCCAGCCAGCCGTCTCCAAGCCTGCACATCAATCCTGCTTTCTTCACAGCACACGACGGGCACAGCAGCAAAGCTTACAGTCAGCAGAAGTGAGAGGACTTCAAGTTTGGTTTTAATAGCTACTCAGAAGAAACAGGACGATGTTTGTCTCAATGAGATACAGTGAAAGTGTAATGTTAAGGCAGCAAAAGAAATACAGATAGCAACGCACATAGAACATACTGAGAATAATTAGATTAATTACAATTCAGACTGACAGCCAACAGATATTTTTAGAAAACTAGTACATATGCAGCAATAAGTTGTGCTGCTGGTTCAGTAATTCTGTCACTTGGTACGACAACAATCTGCCTGTGTTTCAGACCCACGTCTCGAGGTGCAGACGGAGATTTCGAGGAGCTAATGAACAGAAATAAAGCTATTACCAGCAGTGCCATCACCAAGGCCGTGTCTGGAGCAACAGCTGGTGAGTACAGCTCCTGAAGTAGGAGAAGAAACACAGAACTTAACAGGCCAGGTGGAGAAAGGCCTCGACTGGAGCTGTGACTGATGGAAAGAAATCTAAATATACAGAAGTGTAAACAGATACCCTGATTTATGTTATTTTGCTGCTACAGTTTATGTAAAACTACATTTTTTTAGCTGTAAAATTCAAAATAATTGTCCTAAATCACTGTTGACATGTTAATTAAGAATCATATTATTGTATTTGAGGGAATCACAGATGAAAGTTGTAGTTTTTCTGTCATTTCGTGACACAAGTCCACGTGGCTACGATTTTTGTCTGACGTTACTGTAATGTGGGATAAATGTCGTCCGTTGTTTTGAAGCTTTTTATGAACCAGAACCGACGGGAGCTTTGAAGCTTCACTACTTACCAAAGGCAGCTCTCTAATACTGAATCTCACCAACTGCTACTGCAGGAGACATGCGGGTTGCCATGGAGACGTTACTAACAGCCATCGCCATCATTAAGCAGTCCAGGGTGTACGGAGACGAACGCTGCCAAGCCCTGGTCACCTCACTCAAAGACTGTCTGGTCTCCATCCAGGGCAACTACGGCTACAGGTTAGTGTGATCACACATCAGGACTAAGGCTGTAGCTAGCGTTAGCTCTGTTAGCAGTGTTTAATCACACACACCCACGTGTCTCTGCAGGACTAACAGTCGCTCTGGGGAAAAGGAACGAGACCGGGACAGGAGTCGTGACAGAGACCGAGAACGTGAGCGAGAGCGAGAGAGGGACCGCGACAGGGACCGCGAGCGAGATCGCGACAGAGATCGCGAGAGAGACCGTGAGAGAGAACGTGACAGAGAAGATGCTTATAGCTGGGAAGGTGTGGGAATGTCCCGGCGACACAGAGAACACTCCTGGACTGACGAGAGAGACAAGGAGCGCTCGAGAGAACGAGAACGGCACAGAGATCATAGAGACCGGTACCGCTGACCCGGTAAGCTCATCCGTCGTTTATTAACATTTTATGCTGCACATGTTTTCTTTTTTCTTGCCCGGATGTCTCAGGTTACAGTAATGACGGCTCTTCGGTCAGCTCCTGGGGTTCTGATTGCCGGCTAACTGGAGCGCTGTCAGAAGTGCACTCCTCTCCATTAATCTAATGGCAAGCGAGCTTCACGTCTGGATGTGCATCCTGTTGACTCTGTTGTAAACAGCAATCTCACATGGTTGGACTGAGTCACATTAATGAATCACATCCAGCACGGCGCCAGTCTGAACCGTCACACTGGGACACGAGTGACTCTACTGGAGTCTGTGTGACGTGATTTAGGGAATCTGTGTCCACATTTCAACGTCAATATCTGTCCAAAAACACACAGCTTTCTGTCATAAACTAGAACGGAGACTAACAGCTCAGATAAACGATAACAGCGAATGTAATCCTTTGTTTCTGACAAACTCGAGTCGTCTTTCCTCTGAGCTCATTAAACACCTGCAGTAGGATCCACGTGAGCGTCTGAAGACATTTCTCTGTGATCAGGATCTAAAGGCAAACAGCGCTGTGTGCTTTCCTTCACTTCAGACTGTCACTGGTTAGAAGCTGCAGATAAATCAGTTGTTAGATAGCAGCTGTCTCCAGGTGGAGTCGCAGCTGTCAGGATGGTTTTATTCTACTGTGGATAAAACAGTAGTGAGACTGTCATCACAGTGTTTGGGGAAATCATCAGCAGTCTGATGAGTTTGTGATTGGTTTAGATTCGGTGCATTATTATTGGTTGTACATTGAATCTCGTGGAATGACAGATGTCACATCTGGGCCGCTGTGGTGGGAACAGTAACCAGAACATGACCCATGTCTGAATGACAGAATGCTGTCTCTTTAACATACGGTGAAGCCAGCGACGCTACGTATCCGACGCCTGGAGAGGCTTTACTGGAGCTGAGGCATTAATGATGGTGTTAATTACACCTGTTTGTCTGCTGTGAAGAAGCTCTGCTGTCAGCTCCCATGTTGGATTTGTTGTTAGACTGTTTTGTGCACTCTGTCGCTGCTGCTGATGCCGTCTGTGTAACGTCTACGTGTGTGAACGTGTTGGTTGTTGTTGTTTTATTTGCATCTTATTACAGCATTTCTTGTCATGATCGGCAAAATAACTCAATAAGAGATTCTATGAAATGATAAATAAGACGTGGTTTGGGTTAATAATCATCCTGAAGACTAATAATGTGGATGTAGTAAATCATACGGCTGAAGAGAGCAGCATTTATGTTCAGTTAAACTGGATTGGATATGATGTGAAGAGAAGCGAAGGCCTTGATGTTCAGTCCCGTTTCATTTCTCCCAAAACCTTTCTGACAGATTAAACATGAAGCTGGTGAAAGAGGTTATTTTTAGTGCAAAGATCTAACAACGCGATGACCTGTTAAAAGTCTGCAATCCATTATGTCCCCAGAGTTACTGCGTGATCGTGTTTTGATATGTTGACAGTCTGCTGGTCGGTTTGTGTCCTTTAACAGCCGTGGCTGCAACTCCAAGACACAAACAAGACAATGTCCATAAAAAGTTTTTTGCTTTTCAACATTGAATCATGGTAAATATAATTAGACTTTTTTTGTACTAATAATTTAAAAAAACAAAACAAACTCTTTTGTGTCAAAGTGAAAACAGATTTCTACATAGCGATAGAAGATGTAAAACAGAAGATAAGCCGCTGCCTAAGTGTTCACCACCTTCAGGTTTTTCAGCAGCGGCTCTCTGAAGCTGTTGACTGTTAGAGAACCTGGACAGCAGCTGTGGAACGTCTCTCCATCTCTGCTGCTGAAGCTCTAAACCCTCTCAGAGGAGTCGTAGGAGTCGTGATGACCTCCCTCACTCGTCTCCTTCTTGCACAGTTGCTTAGTTTTCAACGACAGCCTGCTCGAGGCAGATTCATGTGTGCGCCATATTTTCCTATTTCTTAATGATGGATTCAGCTGCGGGTTGCAGGTGGATCAGTGGTCAGCACCGTTAGCGCCTCACAGCTAGAAGGTCGCCGGTTGGCGTCCCGGTGAGGACACCCGGGATCTTCCTGCGTGGAGTCTCCATGTTCTCCCCGTGCAGCGTGGGTTCTCTCCGGGTTCTCCGGCTTCCTCCCACAGTCCAGAAACATGCTGAGGTTAATTGGTGATTGTAAATTGTCTGTAGGTGTGAATGTGAGTGTGCTTGGTTGTCTGTCTCTAAGTGTAGCCCTGTGATAGACTGGTTACCTGTCCAGGTGAACCTGCCTTCACCCTGAGTCAGCTGGGATAGGCTCCGCCCCCCATGACCCTGGTGAGGATTAAGGTGTAGAGATGATGGATGGATTCAACTGCACTCCAGGGGACACTCAGCGACTTGATCTTCTTGCGTTTGTGCCCTGCCTGATGCTTTTAACAACCTTTTCACAGAGTTGCTTTGAGTGTCTTCATGGTGCTGATTCACCAGACTGGACCTTCCAGATGTGGGTGTTTTTACACCATCGTCACTGAAGAGACACTCAGATGATCTACAATCCACTGTTTGTGCGACTTCTCGCAGTTCTCAGTAAAGTCAAAAAGCGGCGTGAACGTAAAAGGGGCATGGCCACCTGCTTTATTCTTGATATCCTGTAAATACGATGGTTGTGTTCTGTGGGAGCAACAACGAGCCTTCAAAGACAGAAACTAGTCCTGATGTTCGAAGCACAGTTTGCATACTTCCTCTCAAAATCGCTTTCTATATTAAACTGTTGGGTCCATGTTTGATTCCTGCAAATGTTTCTTTAAAAGTACGTCTTCTTTCCTCTTCCCCAGGTCGGGGGAGTTACTGACCGGACAGGACCAAGTTGTAAAAAATCTGGAGGAATCTAAGGTGAAGCTGAAGATATGCATCTCCAAACGTTTAAAGTGTACTGTTTTGGTTCTCCAGTCACATGTTGATCCTGGGACTTTAACTTGTTTTAGTCAAAAAAAAGTGGCTGTAGATTTTTTTGCTGAGATGTACATTTGAAAGCTTGCATGCACGGTTACACCTCCTAATAACTTATGTAATAGTGTGATGTTTTCACTTTCTTTTATATTAAATCCACAGATTAAAAAGCATTCCCTGAAAATAGGATTGAAGTGTTTTATTTCTTCACTCATTTAGGTTGTACTACATCTACACGCTGAGGACCATAATGGGTCTAATTGTGTTTTTGTCCACCTTCGTTACTACATTCTTATCTACTGCAATTGATCGATCAATGTGTGCTTGTACCATACAATCAGATACGGTGATGTACATGCACTGCGTAATAATAATTTTATAACCCAGTTTTCCAAAAGTCTGAATGTCTCGGAGACTTCAGGTGCTCATTTTCACATTATTGTTCGACTAACAAGACTGCAGTAAGTCGATAAACCAGGAACAGAAGGAACACTGTGATCAACAGCTTTATTTAGAAAACATACATCGTCCAATAGGTGTAGAAATGAATGTTGTGAAGATCTTGACCGTGGTTGTCACACATAAATATAACCTGAATCTGTCCAAGTCACAGCCCTGTAAAGTCCATAAAGCTCCTCCAGTCGTCATTTCTCCAGAGGAGCATAATTCAACAACTTCTCAATAAGATCCACGTGAGAAAGGAGCATCCTCCGACAGCAGTACCGCTTCAGACCCAGAGCATCCAGGGCATCGCTGCAGGCGGAGAGAGGGAGTCATGTCAGTCCTCATACAGATCACTGAATGAATAAAGTACATGGACATGACTGCAGACAACACTGAGGATAGACGCCTGAATGGCCTCAGGTAGTGGGAATTAACTAACCATGTGGCAACCTGATAAGCTAAAAGGTTTGAGGTAAAGTGCACAACGACAACCACAACACAGCGTCTAACTAAATACTTGAGCACAGCAACTGCTCTGGTTCTGAGCAGGACTTGTTTACACATGAAGCAGCACAATGCAGGAACAGCTACCACCACCGATGACATGTAGATCAGGGACAGAGACCAGCAGGTGTTCAGCTCACCCCTCAGTGTACTCGGCTTGTAGGAGGCCAAGGTAAGCTTCCCATTTGTTGCCCACAATCTTCCCGCACGTGAAGCACCGGACAGGGATGATCATGGTCGGACACCTGGAGACGGAAACGCATTACCCCGTTAGCACCGATACATGTGGACAATGCAACGCTAGCAAGACAGCGACATAGTTAGCGGCAAGTAACTTAACATTAACGAGAAAAAAGATTTCAAAATAAGCGCTTTTCAAGATTAACTCGAAATAGTTCAACCCCGAGCCATGACGTGATTGCTGTACCGGGTAGCTAGTATGTTATGCTAACATTCAAGCTACAACACGTAGCTATGCTAGCTCCAATGGACACGTACTAGATGGAAAAACAACGCGAATTTGTCTTTAATATCTTAGTTTCAGTACCTAATAGCGTTAATTAAATGTTGTTTTTCCAGAGCCGGTTGTCAAATTAAAGGGGCTTGTTAAGTTCCACGGTGTAAGCTAACGCTAGCTCACGCGCTGTGTTTAGCCATGCGACTAGAACTGTACACAGTTGGCTAACTTTAGCATGTTAGCACGAGTTGTTCATTATTATCAGTCAACGCACAAAATCCAAAAATATTACTTTTCATTTCCTTACCGTCACTTCTCTCGTTCACCCAAAAGAACAAGCGTTATTTCTTTCTGAGAGAAAGTAACTCCAACAGTGACCGCAGTTTCCCTCGTTCTGCACAACCGCAACAATAGCAAGTCCTTCCGTCAGTCCTTCAGAATAAAAGCCTAAATTCTACCAATGTTTATTATTACGGAAATTGAAGTGTTTACTACCTTCGCTGATTTAAATGGAAGAGATTTATATTTAAAAATGCTACACAATTACAATTCATGTACGTATGTATACATTTGCATTTGCACTGTTTATTATTATTATTATCATAATTGATTATTATTATTATTAATAATAATAATAATAATAATAATTAATAATTTTCTATATCTTTTCTATATATCCTCATTTTAGTATTCTATGCTTGCACTATTCTTTTTTATATGTGTGTTTTTATACTTGTGTTTGCACTATGTTTCTCTGTGTGTACTGCTGCTGGCAACAATGTGAATTTCTCCACTGTGAGATAAACAACAGCATATCTTATATCTTATATCTTATCAAACTATAACAAAAAGTTATGCTGTTCTATAGCAAGTATCTGTGGTCCAGTCAGCCATAATAAGGACAATTTCTAAAGAAAGATAAAAGCATCCCTGTAGGTGAGCAGGCAGAGTTCAACGGGGCTGACCGGTTCTGGTTTTTGTGGGCCAGTACAGATATTGATCGTAGAGTAGAAACAGTCACGTATGCACTGATCAGTCGTTTTCCCCGCTCTCTTCATAAGGCACATTGAGGGACGCTTTTTAGTGAGTATTTGTCATGCAGTCATAAAAGAAAGATCCAAGTGATGTGCTTTAAGCTGATGCAAGACTTTTAAAGTAGAATCATAAACCTTGTTTCAAATAACATACTTCATATATTTAAGTTTTTCTCTTGAAATCTGAATTGATAATGGATTTTATTTTTACAGAAAATTATATATTTAAAAAAAATGTTTCATTTATAAAGTCTTTTTTTTTTTAAATTTTCTAATGTCATCTAGCAATAGAAATATAATTAAATCTGTGCTGATTTGTCAGTGCTGGAAATCTAGCTGGGGATAAAAAAGAAAAAAAGAAAATTCCTTTCATTGTGAATCACAAAATATAGAAATTAAAATAAAGACTAAATAAGGTAGAATTTGGATTAAGGCGTAATTCCTTAAAAAACTCAATAAATTAAAACAGAGCATGCTCCAAAATGTATGTCAGTATAATACTGTAAGACACATCCATCACACAAACTCTACAGTTTGACTGAAAAACAGTTTCACGTCTCATTTAGTCAGCAAAGGTGCGATTGTTGTGAAAGAAGTACTCACTTGGGCTGGTTCACTGCCTTTAATAAGGTTGGATTTCACTCTTTCTTTTTTACATTTAGAAGTTTGGGGGCAGAGGGGAGGGTGCATAAGGAAAATATGTTAGAAATATATAAAAAAATATATCATAACCATCATTAGAACCATTACAGTCACCATGAACAACATCATCATTACCCGTCATCGTCCTCTGCAACATCACCATCTTTGCCTTCTCTAAGATAATACAGTATTACATCGTTTATATAATTTAACTTGCTACAGCACATGTGCTAAATGAGGAGTCCTATCTGAATTATTGCATTTATACGCTGTTGAAATTATGAAAATAGGAATTTTCTCTTTTTTTTTTTTGGTACACTGTATTGTACAATGTAAGGTGAAGTTTGTTTTGGTGTTGGCATACTATCTTTTTAATATGTTTGGGGTGCTGAATGTGGTATGTTCATATAATATTTTTGGCCAGTGATGTGTGAAGTCTATACCCTCTATACTAAAATCAAGTGATGGTTAATGTCAGAACTGTCTTTCTGCTATCTACTTATGCGACAGGGACAACCACGATGTGAGTTAAAACGATGGTGTACAGCTGTACAGGTGAGCGTGTGCAGTGACAGAACTGCTTCTTTCCCCTTCGAGCTCAACACATGACACCGGTTGGTTTACAGCCAGCTTCCACTGTATCTGCAGCAGTCTAGGATGCTCTCAGCACGTTAAAGTTGTACTTAGTTATTAACGTGGTTTTGAAAACAAGATTTTGCAACCGTCAGGGTGTCGACAGAAACAGCTCCCGTGTCCTGGCAGCAGACTCTAGACCTGATCCTGCACCACTAATGGCTGCTCGGGCCGCTACAGTGAAGCATCTGCATACCGCCAGATGTGAACAGAGTGAGCTAGCATGACTGTTGTGTAAGACATGAAAGGTTATTGATTTGTGATATTATTCGACAGTAAAATAAATTCTCTTTCTTATTCTACAGCAAGAAGTTACTTCACTACAATCCTCTGCTCCGTAGAGTCCACGTTTTATGTCCAGCGGTCCCTACATGCCGTTCCTCAACCACCGCATGCTTCTACGTTCAGTATCTGAACAAGTTTATTGCACTGTGCCATATTATATTAGACTATTTCTTTTTACAATTAGGGATTTGATGTCTTTGATGTCTCACTGAAAGAGGAACTTAATCCCTTCAGTCAGGCAATGATTCAGCCAAAGTATGTGCAATAGATCACAGTGCATAATCAGGGCTGCTCCCCAGCCTGCTCTTCCTGTTGTCCTGTTTAAAAGTAAAATAAAACCTAGAACTCTGATACACAATGTTAACAGCTATAAGTTCCAATCATATAAATACAGTTCTTCATGATCTTTTAGCAAAGTGAACCAGGCTCATTTCTGGTGCAAGAAGGCACAAATATCTGGTGTCAGTATTTGTGCAAACTGAATTAAACAAGATAAAGCAGTTGAACAAGCTGCCTGTAGATAGTTTAGGCTTTGAAGCTCGGTAATACAACGTGAGTTTGTTTTTTTAAGAAAGACATAATTACATTTCAGATGGAGTATCGCAGCATTTCCATGCATATACTGAGTATAACTATGCTCCATATACAGCCTTGATCAAAGCTTGAATGCTTTGATTCACAACAAGTGAAAGCAGGTCAGAAGAAGACAAACCAACAACTAAAAACATAAAATGCACAGTGGCTCCCCATCCCCCCGTCTGTACCATGATAGTCTGTGAACCAATCAGCAGCGACGCTCTAAACTCATCAACCAATGAATACTGGAACTTGGGATAATGATTTGGTTTTAATTTCTCCTTGCCAGTAACAACACTCCCAGCAAGATGGCTCCTGCAGCGATAACGACACCGCCGATGAGGAAGGGCTTCAGGTGTTCCAGAGAGTCTGTGCCGGAGGCCGCGGCCTCCTCACCTGCTGCTGCTGCTTCAGCTTCTGCTGCCCCATCTTGGGAGGGAGGAGGATGCTCGGGCTCGGGGGCTGCAGGGGCAGGGTCAGCCTTGCGTGGGGCTACCGGCTCCTTCTTCTCTGCTTTAGATGCTGCTTTGGGCGCTGGAGCGCCGGACTTGGTCTTGGCTTCCATGGACTCTGAGACAGAGGTGTGGTCTGGCCAGGAGGAGTCTTTATAAGGTCAGCTCTGTGCTGCTTCACTGAGGAAAAACAGCAAACACACAGGCAGATTATCCCTCTAAATTAGGCTCAGACATCATGTTATCTGCTCTGCTGAGTGTAGAGACAGTGACATACGAAGAGCTCTTCATATCCATGTATTCACTGTGCAACAGAGCAGCAGTCCTGTGGCGGCGAGGCCTTAACTGTGACCTTGGAAAATGATGACATTGATGGGAACACTGCGATGCTTATAGGGACGGGACAGTGTTTATTTTGGTCACAGCTGCTGTGACATAACCTTCCTCTGAAGAAATCATTTCCAGGCAGCTTCCCTTGTTAAGCCTTTTCATGGGACAATCTGCTAGTTTTGTAATGGAGGCAGGAAGAACGGTGCTGCAGCTGCAGATCGCACTTACAGTAAAGGACGGACTCTTTACTTCTCTGACCCTGACAGGAGCTTAGTCTAGATGCAGTAATATCAAGATTTAATCTCTTTCTTGCTCGCTGCTCTCTCACTTCACTGTAAAACCCGCATGAGTCACATCAGCTATAAATGGAGGACAAGATGGAGGAGAGGAATAAGGACCACAGCAGCTGCGATAGGGGAAATCAGGCAAAATGCAAATGAGGTAGAAATGAGAAGGAATGCCTATCGCAGACTAACCGCATCACAACAGCTTTAATGCTACAGAACGTAGGCTGGACTCATCTTTGCAAAACTGCCTCCTGCTAAATGCTGCTGTGACGTGATGAGAGGAAATATGGGCATCACCTACCTCTCCAGCAGCTCTGTAGGGATCACAAGGAAGGCAGACGGACGAGGACGCGCAGCAGCCTGGAAGTTAGAATGTCCTCAATATTAGAAAATGAGAGAAAGGGTAGAGATGGAGGACACTGGAAGCAGGAGGGAGGAGAGTGAGAGGGAGAGGAGGAGAGACCGGGATGTACCATCTGGGCTCAAACTAGGGGGAGTCTGTTCTTGGAGTGCATCCTGGTTTTAGTCTCTTCCGTTTTTTTCTTGGTGGATGAGTTGACATGGCATTAATGTCATATGGCAAAGCACACGTGTGTCACATCACACCGGATCTCTGGAGAATGATTTTATCTGTTCAGTTTTCAGGTACCATGTGGTCAGAGTAAGTCTCTGGAGGATGACATTTCCATCGTTGTGGCTCTGTAATGAGGTTCAGCTGATTGTAAAGGGCTGATTTCCAGTGTGTTTGGAGGCACTGGTGAATCCACATGATTGACAAAAACAGGCTCACATCCAGCGTTCCTACAGGGATGGTAAATGCTCTATGACAACAGAACAAGCAGCAGTGTGGTCCAGAGAGTCATAATTAATTATCATTGTGTTTATATTAGGAGGTAATAGCTCCAATGTCCTTAATTTGTATAAACTGTGGGTAAACATTTGCTGTCTATCATACAAATGTACAACATGAGAAAATAAGCAGCGCATATCTGTTTTCTCACATTTTATTCCCCAGACAACATGTATGGATCAGAATGACTCCTGCTGCAAAACAGTTTGGGATCTATTTTCAGATATCTGCTGAACAACCCTCCGGCCCTGAGGTCAGCAGTCTTGGCAGCAGTCTGTGTGAAAGCCGGACTCACTCAAGTCTGCTCCAGTGACTCATTGGTTTGGTTTCTTCTCTACAAATTACAACAAAGTTTTGGACGTGTTTCAGGGGACAGCATTCCTGTTTTCAAGTGTGGACTTCAGTGACGCACAGCCAGTCCACGCCCTGTGCATGTCGATCCAAAGAACACCACAACATGTCAAGATAATAAGAGGTAAAGCACAAAGTTGTCGGGCCAATGGGGAAAAAACAAGGAAAAGAAGAACAAACAGCCCCCTGACACTTTATGTTAATGTGTTGGATTTTCACATCGACAATCGATTTGAAACGAAGCAAATCACAAGAAACGGTTTGATATGTGATGCAAAATAAATGAACTTCACACAGGCAAGGACGAGAACGTTATCAGGACAGAAGTTCTCTATTGTCGCACTGTTACATTAATAAAAAATAATTATAGAAGGTACATGTTTAATACCTGTGAATAGAATACAATGCTTTTTATTGTCATCATACACAAAGTACAAGGAAATTAAAAGACTAAAATTCCAGTGGTGCAAAATACAAGTATAAAAAAGACAAATAAGAATATAGAAATATATTTACAAAAGTAGGAAGTAAACACAGTCAGGAATGAGCCAAATGGTAGAATAAATATATGGCACTGTTGAGGAAAGAACACTGTGGATATATGAGAAATATAAATAATATCAATGAATAAATAATTATAATAATATAATAAGATGTAAAATAGGAACGTTACAGGAGCTCTTTCCTCCCGACAGCAATAAGACTCTTTAATGCTTCAGTCTAAGCAGTGTATTATTATATCATATAATAACACATTATGTTCATTTGCACATTTCTGTATCTCTCTTATATAATCTTGTACATTTTGCTGACTTTCTTCTGTATTCTCTATATTTTTATCTTATTTTACCTTCATGTTTTACCCGACCATAATATTCTGTGTAGTCTTCTGCCTTGTTTACTCCTCTGTTGATCAGTCATGCTGCTGTAACACCTGGATTTCCCTCCTGGGATTAATAACGTCTTAGAGTGTTTGCAAATGAGACCCTGTTCTCAGACATTATACCTGGTAAAATAAAGGTTTAAAAAATAAGTCTAAAATATAAACTAAACATGTGTAGTGGACAGTGTCACCGTGTAGACCGACTCCGGTGTTCACCGTGCCATCTGCGAGAGTTTAAAACACAAGTTTGTGTAATAAATCAGCACAAGTTTCGGCCTGCATCTCTGTGTCGTCACTGTGGTAACCGGCGCTGCTTCGGGTAAATACCACACTGCGCATGCGCCGCACCACCGGGGCCCGGTTCCGTGAGGTAACGTTTAGTTTAACGTTCAGCTTAATGCGGTTGTTTTAAAACAAATGGCGTCCGGAAGCGGCGGCTTCCTCAAAGTAACGAACCTCTGAAGCCAGACCGGAGCGCGCCGGAGCTCCCGGTCCGTGCGGTGACATCACGGAGGGGAGCGGCACCCTCTCGACAACACTCCGCTCTCTGTGCAGCCGCGTCATGACGTCCTCACACCAGCGGGGGCGCTCTTCCTCCGCAGGAGCTCCGGAGTGTCTGCGGGCTGCTTTTATCAAGAAAAAAAAACCCGAGTCAGGTGTGCGTAAACCTTTTGCGCAGCCGAACGCGGAAGGGGAATAGCCGCTTCCTACGTATTTTTCGCTGTGATTTTTTTCCGAGGGGGTGGGCCAGATCCTCGGGAAAATGCTGCCTCCGTGTAGCTGCTCTCCGTGTCGGGGTTCGGGAGTTGTCCGGTTGTGATGGCACACACACACGGGCTACGGCGTGAAATGGCTCGTGTGGTTCGCGGGGCTGCCGTCCTCCGCGGGGAGGAATAACCACGCCGAGCTCGCGCGGAAGGGACGTGGGAATGATCCACGCTCCGAGCAGCCGACGACGTGTTGCCGTTTAGCGGAGAACCGAGCCGCCAGTCCCCGGAGGAAGGAGGCTTCTCTCTCTTTTTTTTTTTCCTTTTTTCTCCAGAACGGCCGCGTTAATGATTCTTGATGTTTGAAGCCGGACCGACACCGGGCGGATAACCGAGGAGGCTCCGGGGCTCTGGTGTCTCTGGCTCCATTCATCTCTCTCGCTGTAATGACGTCTGCACGGCTATTTTAATTCCATCCGTGAGACCCATCTGAGAACTGATCCAGCCGAACTGCCGAGCCGGTGTCCGCGGGAGGGAGCGACGCTGAGGCGGGATATGGGAGAGAGAGCGGAACCGATGCAGCGGGTCTTGGCACGGCATCGTCAAAATACAGGTGAGTGGCAGCTCCCGGTGAGGTGAGGAGCCCGACTTGAGCTTGTGTGCACCAGCCCGCTGTGACCCGGCTCCTCAGCCCGGTTCTTAGGCCACATCTCGGCTTGCAGGCCCGCAGGATGCCACCTTATGCAGCTGTCCTGATTACACCAGATTAGGCAGAGCTGCTGCTGCTGCTGCTGCTGCTGCTGCTGGTCGACTTGTTGGAGTCACGGTGCTGTTGCGCGTCCAGAACCAAGGAGCAGCGTGAATGTCCGTTCATGTACCAGCACGCACCGTCACAGCGGAATGACAGGAGCAAAGTTGCACAAACCCAAAGTGGTCATAGCCACAGATCAGGAGTGAATCCATCCCCTGATCCTTCATTATGAGATGCAAACTTGAGGAACCGGGCTCAGACAGCCAGCACACTGTCAGGACTTGTGTGTTTCTGGTTCAGCAGTAGGTGACATGTCCCCCCTCCCCTCCCAAAACCAGGACCTGGCACAGTGACAGTAGTGAGGAATGTCACACCTGTTTATCAGCCACCCTCCATGCTCATACCGCTCAGAGTGCAGATGCCTTCATCGGGCCGTGTTGCAACTGAGAAGGTCTCAGGAGGACGTGGACCCGGTCCTCCATACCGTCCAGCCAGTCCTACATGGTCCTCATAGACTGATGTAGGGATGGGAAAGTTTAAAGCAGACAGGTGGGAGGCACAGTAAGTTATATGTTAGGGGTGAGAGGGGTGTTTTTTCCTTCCTTAAGCTCAGATGCTGTTAGGATGCAGCCAAACCGAGCCCAGCACCAGCACCAGTAGAAACACCTGTTTTCCTGTCAGTCCTGGTGGAACCCGAGTGCCTCCTGGCAGATGTGTTGACTCCTTGTTTTCGCCGTCCAGCTCGTGTGAGAGTTTGTCGCCTCTTCTTGTGCCAGAAAACCGGCCCCTCTGATTTAGTGCTGACTTACTAATTTAATCCGATTTAGTGAGACTTAGCGCTGCTGTTTGGGTCCTCACAGGTAGTTCAGGGAGTCCCACTGTGTTGGGATGGAGCGACAGTACAGCAGTGTGTTCTGGTGCTGCAGATAACAACCTGATCAGACCAATTCAGTCATTTGTGTTTCTGCTTTTGTAGGAGTGCAAAGAAATTATTGCTCATTTCTCACATTTGTGATTTCTAATTTAGACAACAGCATCGGATGGGCGTGTGAAGTCCTCCCGCATGTGTAAATCAGGGCTGGACAGAGTTTAGATAAAGAGTGGTGAGTAAAGGGCCGCGTGACATCCACCCGCTAAAAACACACACAGCACGACGACACCAGTCCAAGATTAAAGTTTAGTTATTGATCTGCAGACGCTGCTCTGAGCAGGAGTCCCAGAGATTATGTCTTAAGTAGCCTCAGACAGTCCTGAGATCCAGTCCAGCTGCCCAGACGATTGTTTCGTGTCCTTGGGTGTGAAAATCTGGTGCCTTTTGCGAGGTTCTCTTTATTAATTTTCCATCTCCGTCCTTTCATCCTCTCCTCCCTCCTTCCTGTTTTTGTTTGTCTGGCTTTAACAAAAGTAATCAGGATGGAAGTGCGACGGCACGGGCCCCTGAAATGGAAGTTCATTTTTAAAGTACCTCTTATTTGTGTTGTGCTGTGTCATGTGCAGCATGTTAATTAGAAAACAGTCCGTGAATAACGGATGATTTCTGTGCAGTTGTTCACAGCAGAGCCTGGACACAAACGACTTCCAGTGACTGCTGTGTAGCCGGTTGCCAGACTTTGCTCTGGAAATACAAATTCAGAAGTGATAACGAGGCAATTAACGTTTTCAGATACGCAGTTGCTCATAACCTTCTGCTGTATCCGGTGCTTTATCTAAGGTGTTCCCTATGTCTCGTGGAGATGCAGATATCACAGCACGCACTGTAATTATGAATTAGGTCTTTCTCTAACGGTGGATCCAAAGAAGCCACAAATCAAAGGACATCACCGATAATGTGGAAGGACCGTAGTGATGATTTGCATGCAGGTGTGTGTTTGTGTCCGTCCCCTCCCAGACAGGCAGACTTGGATTTATTGCAAAATCTCTAAACTGCAGCCATTAACAGACTGTTCGCTGCAAGTGTGTGAAAAATACCAATTTAATGTTCCACAGTAAATTGAGCCCACTGCTGAAACCCTATGGCTGCAGCCGTGTGTTGCATGGACAACGCTGCTGCAGTTATTTCCAGTATCTGACCAGATATAATGACAAGCAGAGCTGTACATGGTTTGTGGCAGGAAGCCACAGACAGGTTGGCAGACCACATATGTTAACACCCCAGCACACAAAAAACATTCATGTATACACAAACACACGCATGCAATCTGCAGCGCACATACTATCACATCCACTGAAAGAAGAGAAAATGGAGTGGGAAGAGGTGAAAGGGATTGAGTGGGTGGCAGTGGGAGAAAAAGATGGAGAAAGAGGCAGAGGGAGAGTAGGAGTGAGTGGCACATGGCTTTCAGTCTAAAAAAAGATGAGCAACACGAAACCAAAACCAGAATCTGGATTAGCTAGATAAGGAAGAGGAGGGGGACAGGGGAAGGCTGGAGGAGAAAATGTAGGTTTCCTCTGCACCGAAAATGGTGCAGATGCACACGCTCAGTTTCATGCTCATAAATGTCCTCTAAAATATGAATACTGAATGAGTGTGTGGGTAGGAGAGAGAGCATGAAGATGGGAAGACGGAAGATGAGAAAGAGAACGGGTGAGATGGAGAAAGGAGAGGGTGTGATTCTTTAGGATGGACAGAGCGCCGCCGTAGTGTGACAGATTAGGGAGAGACCAGATCATTAGAGACAGCAGGAGCAGAGCCAGGGATGTGACAAATGCTGGAAAGAATCTTGATCTGAATGGAGTGTAACACTGACCCAGGCAGAAAAAGAGAGAGACTGGAGCAGATGGATGTATGACAGCGAGCAGAGAAGACGGAGAGATTTGGGACTGTGCTGCAGTCACACAGTCATGCCAACCCAGTATAACCTCAGCATTTTTTTGCAGACAATCTTAGCCTGTCTCTCCAGTGTGGTGCCCAACACCTCGCTACATGCCAAGCCCTCTTCGGCTGGCCTCCGCCGTCTCATCCAGCCAATAGTTTTCCTCCCTCGTTGATTCCTATTGATTTTGACAACATAAAGAGCTACCTGCAGGACAAGAAAGTCCCTCTGTCTCTGCACGACTGACTGTGCTCACAGAGGTTCTCTTTAATAGTAATGGTGCGTTACTCCAATAACCCTTTAACACACATAAGGCCAGCAAAACCACACGGCTCTGATGGGAGTCAGTCCGGTCTAGTTCTGGCTTAGCTTTGCAAGAATGTGAGAACATCCTGGATGTGTGAACGTCACCGATGCCACACCTTTACATGTTGTCCAGTCAAGACGTTGTTTTCTGAAGCACAAAACAAGTGTCTTCGCTATTTTAAAAGACATAAATTTTTGATTCCAAAACTGAAAGCACAGCATGAATATTCACATCCCATGGATCAGCACGAGACTTGCTGCAGAAACTAAACGTGCTGCAGTGAATAACGTCCATCATCTCTACACCTTAATCCTCACCAGGGCCATGGGGGGGCGGAGTCTATCCCAGCTGACTCAGGGTGAAGGCAGGTTCACCTGGACAGGTAACCAGTCTATCACAGGGCTACACTTAGAGACAGACAACCAAGCACACTCACATTCACACCTACGGACAATTTACAATCACCAATTAACCTCAGCCTGTTTCTGGACCTTCTAGCTGTGAGGCCACGGTGCTAACCACTGATCCACCTGCAGCCCTCAATAACATACATTCAGGATGTATTCAGATCCTCGAGTGAAAGGTGGAGTCCGTTCTGCTGGACACGCCTCTGTTTACATCCGTCCTCTACTCTCCTCCAGCGTGCATCCTCCTCACAGCTGGTGTGTCCGTACAGACATGTGAATGCATGAAGAGTCGTGTTTACATACGTGGCCTAACCATGACCTACACCACGGATCTCCAGCTCTGGTCCTCATGAGCTCCTGTCCTGCAGGTTCTAGATGTTACTGCAACACACCTGACCCAAACTAATGGATCATTACCAGACTTGTGTAGAACTTGACAACAAGCTGTTGGAGGTGCATTAATGTGAGTCAGGTGTGTTGCAGTAACGTCTACAACCTGCAGGACAGGAGCTCACGAGGACCAGAGCTGGAGATCTCTGGCCTGTCCAGATTACAGAATGGATTCCATGGTTGTGTATCTGCAGGCCAAACATGACTAAGGTTTAGATGCAGGTTTGTGGTTCAGTGGCAGATATTTACTCACTGACTATCGCTTGATCCCAGTTTTGGATGGACGGCGAGAAAACCAAATACAAATTTCGGATTGGCATTCAGTCGTATCACCCACTTGGCAAAGCGAACGGGGAACCTTCATGTTTGGTTAAACCACATCGCTACAGTGGTGTGTTTTATTTTATCTTTTTATTTAACCTTTATTTAACCAGGTGAGTCCCACTGAGATCTCTTTTCCAAGGGAGCCCTGGCCAAGAGGGCAGCAACAGGGTTACAACAATACAACACAACAAATATAATAAATGATATATAAACACTACAAATACATGAAAACATCCAGGACATGACGACTCATCTAAAGCAGCTACAGACGTCTGTTTTTACAGACTGTAACAAACATAGCCGTCTAATACCTTAAACAACCTGTCGTCCTACGTGTTAGCGCCAGACTAAATATGGGCACCTGTGAAAAACCACCCAAAATCTGTTTCCTGCTCCCCTGTAGGTCTGAGAGGCACGCATTAGTCGGAGTCCACTGGTGACACGTTTTCACACCATAAAGGATCCAAATGCTGTTATAAAAATAACCGTCTTCAGCGGCATCACCACCACCCAGCTCTGTGCTGTCGATGCAAATCCTCATTTAGGTGGTTTCTGGAGAAAAGTGTTCTGAATGTTACAGGAGGTCCGTTTTCGTATATCTTGCTCTCGTAGAAACGAGGC